GAAGGAACTGCCTTTTCCGGTCCTCCCGGTCGATATCGGACATCACCCACCAATTGCAGAATTTTGCATGCGGTCACTTTGTTGATCCCCTTGTCAACCAAATCTTCCACAAAGATGAACTCTTGCAAGTCCGACACATTGGTCACACCAAGCGTAATCATCACCTCACTTACATGAGGGGTATACACCCACAGGTGTGCGTTGCGAGCCATCCAATTTTCAATTGGCTCCTCCGGATTTTGAAGCTGAGTACCAGTGGATGCAGCCACGGAATTCTTTTGTTCATCAGCTTCTGCTTCATCCAGAGTACCTTTTTCACCATCCTTTTGTGACACATTGGTCATTTGCAGTGCTTTCGGTGCCGAGGATGAGGAAGATTCAGCTCCCCCACTTGCAGGTGGCTGAAATGTGCTTCTATCCGTAATCTCCCATCCTCTCTCTTTTTCAAACCGGACCTGATTGGCCACCTGTACCAAGTGTTTCAGGAGCGACAACCGCTCCTCTGACATCTCGTCATGGGAGTACTTGCAGAAATTTAACCCTTTCCGGCAACGTCCTCGGAGGTAATAATCGAAACAGCAATTGTGGAACCCTGCGTCCCTTAGTGACTTCCTGGAAGCATTGTCCCAAGATTTGCCGGGCTCCCAAGTCCCTTCCAATGCTATGTCATCGTTGTGAAGGTACCTGCATGCAGTCCCATATTTACAACCACCTTGATTGTAATACAGACACAGCCGACCTTTTGGCTCACCTGACGTAGGCTCACCCTTTGATGCACCTTTGCCAAAATTGTACTTGGCCCGGAAGGCTAAATCCTCCCGCTCCTGCTGTGCCTCATCCACTGTACCTTCCTCTGTGGGAGGGTCACCGATGTTCCCATCCTCATCATCAGCTTCTTGGCTATTCTTTGGATCAGTTGACCCTCCTCCTGGCCAACCTTCACCATAACGACGATGCTCATAGGAACACTCATCACCATTGCGACACCTTCCCCGATTGAAGAACTTGCACAGCTTGCTGTAACCAGGTGACAACACAGTCTTTGGTGTCATGTAAGCCTTTTTGTACTGGTCAGGGTCCATGTAGGCTTCCATTGGCTTGTTCTCCCTTTTGCTCATGGATTGCACTGCACCATCAAGCTCCTGCAAAAATAGCTTGGTGTCCAACCAAAGCGCGTTCCAAAACTCATCTTCCCCTTGATTCAGCACCGTTGCCACCGCTTCACCCACAACTGGTCGAGAAAATCTCCTTTTTTTGCATGCCAGTTCGAAAAGCGCGTTGTGGTACTGTTTTCGGGAAAAAGTGGTTAACTCCCCCAAGCCTGTGCTTTCTGTACCATCAGGCTTCCAACCACCATTTTGCAAGATGCCATACGCGCGCCGAGCTTCCGCATTGAGGAATGCCTGATCTGCAACACACTCCTGTAAATCTTCCATCGGGCGACCCAACAGCATCCCTGTAATTTTGCCAACATAGGCTTCCTCTTCGTTTCCATTCTCCAGAAGAGCTTTGTAGATCTTTTCTCCATAAAGTTGTCTTTCTTCTCGTTCTTCAGAGGATAACTCCTGTACCACAAGCTCCTCATCGGATTGCTCTTCCTCCTGTTTCCAGTCCCATTGACCGTTGGAATCTCGGTACCACTGACCAACATACCATGGATTCGTCCACCACGTACTCCAGCCGCTGGGTTTCCACTTCCGCAGCGTTGAGGAAGAGTCCTCCCCGTCCTCTTCCAAAACCAGAAAGGTGTCCAAGATTATGGTACCATCATCTTCCACTAGTTTCACTGTTCCATTGACAGTATCACCAAATCTGAAATGGCACGTATTGTTCCCTTCTGCAGGAATCAATACATTCAAATCACCATGGTCCAAAAAGGCTCCATACCCATTGATGCAGCGCACTAGACCTATGATCTCATCTCCCTCTTGATAGCAATGTGTCCCAGGTGATTCCAAGGCTCCCGCTCGGGGCACTTTCTTTGCGTGCTCTTCAGAAACCACCTCTGTATCATCGGCTCCTGGCGCATCCTTTGCTTTCACCTTTGAGTCACACTGCTCGTCCTGCTCCACGAGTCCCACAAGCTCATCTTTTTTGTGCTCCTGGACTTCAGGACCTCCCTTTTTCTCCGCCAAAGGCTTTGCCTCATCTGCTGTAATTCGCTCGGTGTCGACTTCCGGCGAACTTCCAGACGGCAACACTTCTCCTTTCATGGGAGTGGACCCATCATTGGAGTCCTTTGTCACACCTTCTGCAGCAGGCAAATCTTCCTCCACTGCAGGGCAATTGAGTCGATCATCCACGGCAGGCACGCTTTCTTCCACCGCAGGATCCTTTGGTTCCATGGCTTCCAAAGGAGAATTTCCACCATCATTGACCACAGCTGCCTCATTGGCTCCGGTGTAGCCCTTGTCATTTCGTTCCTCGCTGCTAACTTCAGGTTGCACCAGTGCGTCCACCTGTGAACCTCCATCATCAGCTGCTGCGGAGACCTGCGCCCCATTGTTGCAGTCGCCCGTGGAACGTAACGCCATATGCACCTCAACCCGTGCTTCCTTCGCACTCCAGGTAATATCTGGCGCATCGACCCGCGCATCATTGGCGCTCCAGGCCTCATTTTTCAGATCTTCTGTGTCTCCAGCTATTCCAGAAGCTTCTTTTTCCCTTTGAATGGCAGGAACCTTGGCACCAAACGAAGAGACCTCCTCAGTCGCAACACACGACCTTTTCCCTCCGTCTTCCAAATCTCCAGGACCACATTCCCGAACGACAGGTACCACATCCACCACTCGATCTTCTGCAGCCGACACAGTTCCGATCTCCACATTGGGAATCTTTTCTTCTGGACCTACCGATTCCACCGCTGCCACACCCTCAGAAAGTGCTCCCATTCCTTCCCGATCCAGATGTTGAGCTCCAGCGATGTCTGTTCGGTTTCCAGGAATCTCCTCCTCATCAGGAGAACCCGAGGTCGGGGCGTCACCACCAGCCCTAGGACCGCTATCCCTGATAGTAGAGGAAAAATCTTTTTCACCTAAACTATTTACACTACCCTGGAATGCCCTCGTAGACTCAGTCTTCGGAGTAGAGGATGAAGAATCCAGTGCCGCCTCCATTTCCAGCTCATTGCCCGAAGGAGACCCAACCACCTCGTCACTCTTCATCTTTTCACCTACCACCGGCAATGTCCACTTGCTTTCCTGCGTATCCAGGCAGTAATAATATTGTCTCCCATCTTCATGGAGGTGCCATTCCCACGTTGTCCCATCGCACGCTTTGATCAGATGCTCGTCCTTCCGAAAACCATCCCTTTCAGAGACCTGTCGCATCTCGTCCTCTTCTTCGGACAACTGTCGCAACCTCTCAGCCTCCATCTGTAGGATCTCCTCCTCCCCCATGGCGTATCCAGCAGCAGGTGCAGCTTCAAAGCTGTCCGCACCCTTCTGTTCATGACCGCTTCCACCACCTTGGGAACTCGAAGATGGATCCCTTTTGATCTTGTTCAGAGGCCTCCTGGCCGCTTGCAGCACTTCTCCAATCAGATCGGTCTGAGACTCTTGGTCTACCATTCGACCCGAAGTCGAAGACGACGGCTGATACCCGTGTTTGTGCAACACTCGTAAAACAGTCACCTCCATTTCACGATCTATACCACCAGTCGCGTCCCAGTTCCTTTTCTCACCAGGCTTTGGCGATACAGAAACAGCACGTCCTTCAGCTTCAGCATTGCTAACCATATCCCTATTGGGATTCATACCCACATTGGGGCTTTCTGCAACCAAGGCCTCTTCCAGATGTTCTTCAGCGCCGGGAATCACCTCTTCCAACACCGATCTTTCACCCAGAGACTCAGCTGCACCATTTCCAGCTCCACCATCTTGTCCACCATCCGAGGCAAGTTGGAGCCATCGCTTCGGAGAAGGCATTGCTTCTTGATCCCAAAAACCTTGAAAGAACACTTAACCGCAGGGAACCTAATTTGGGCTCATAACCTACGGGGGGACAACCAAGGAAGGAAATCAACTCCCCTAATCGCCCTGAACTTATATTTCCCAGATCGAACCAAGAAACAACCAAGAACACGGATAAGAGCAACAAGGAAGGGGCACCCTTACACAGGTAGAGGGGCACTAACCCAACCCTCACTCCCAAACACGGACTTTTTTCTTTGGACGGGCTGGCCATCCTTGAGCCAAACATAGTTTACGGGTTCATTAACCCTTTCAACTTCCAACACTAACTCCTTTCTACAATACCAATTGCAGCTCCGCACCCTAAACCCTAAACCCTAAACCCTAAACCCTAAACCCTAAACCCTAAACCCTAAACCCGAAACCCGAAACCCTAAACCCTAAACTTACAGGCTTATAGGAGCCAAAGGAGGGGTGTACTTCAAGGCTCAAGATTCTTATGACGAAGATGCGCCGCCTGAGCCGCAAAACCCTAAACCTTAGAAAAAGCATCGTGATGCCTTGTGGTAAGGGTTTAGGGTTTAGGGTTTAGGGTTTAGGGTTTAGGGTTTAGGGTTTAGGGTTTAGGGTTTAGGAGTAAGGGCTTAGGGGTTTAGGGTTTACGGCCATGGCTGTTCAGTGTGGCCATCCTGTACGCCAAACTAGAACTTTGCTGCATTGTGTGGGTTGATGCTGAAGAAAGCTTGGTTGCTTGGTCTCTTTGATGCGTTGTGCTCTTATGCGATATCCTCTCTGGGTCTTTGAATTTGGGATGGCCAAGGATCTGTATCAGTCTTATCCTCAATTGCTTGAGCTGCCTTGCAAGTGTATCATCAAGTCTGGACTGTGTCAAGTATGTCTGATCAGGCGATCTCTCGAGTTCGAAGACAAGTGTTTTCATAGCCTACTTCCTAGTCCACCACGGACCTTAAACCTGAAGCCGAAAAGAAAACTCAACAAACCCTAAGCCTCAAACCCGAAGCTCGGAACCTGAAGCCTCCAACCCTGAACCCTAAAACCCTCGCGCGCCCCAAACCCTGCCACTCCAAGGCAAATCGTCTTCAGGAATACCAAGCCGGAGGTCGGCGAGACCAGGGTTCAGGGTACATAGGGTTTAGGGTTTAGGATTTAGGGTTTAGGGTTTAGGGTTTAGGATTTAGGGTTTAGGGTTTAGGGTTTGGGGTTTGGGGTTTAGGGGTACTTAGAAACCCTACTTCAGCTCCCGGAGCCTTCAGCTGGTTTCAGGGGTTGTGTGAGGGGGTGTTTCAGGGTTTTGGTCTCGGGAGGCTGGTTAAGTCAAGTGGTTTTTGGGAGGGTTTGGGGTTTAGGGTTTTGGGGTTCAGGGTTCAGAGGAGCGCTTCTGTCGGCTTACTCTAAAACTCTCCCATTCCCTCCCTATGGTAGAGCTTTCCCGGCCTTCGGGTGCATTTTGTTAGTTGTTCCCCACCTTCGGTGTGGGGTTGTTAGCTTTTAAGCTCAACTCTTCTCCTCGCCCGGAACTCTTCTCCTCGCCAGGAACTCTTCTCCTCGCCTGGTCTACTCCTAGAGACTCCCTGGAGTGCCCAACCCCAGAGACTCCCTGGAGTGCCAAACCTCAGAGACTCTCTGGAGTGCCCAACCCAGAGACTCCTGCCCTGGAGTGCCCATTTCAGAGTCTAAGCAACAACTAAGAAAGCGTATTTGAATCAATGTATCTTTGCTTGAACATCTTATGCGCGCTCTTTCCTTGTAACGAGGAGCAAGGTGGGGATGTTGGGGGCTTCGTGTCCGGACCCTTCCCAACCCCTAAACCCTAAACCCTAAACCCCAAACCCTAAACCCTAAACCCGAAACCCTAGTCCTGGAGGACCGCGATACCTTATGGGGCCTTCGCGACAAGGGTCTGGAGGCGAAGATGCGGACCCGCCTCATTTGGGAGTTCTGATTCTCTGGCTTCTTTTCTTGTTGGGGGAGTCGAAGAGGGTTTAGGGTTTAGGGTTTAGGGATCCCTACCTATTTCCTGAAAGGCCTACTGAAGCCCTAAGAGCCAAAAAAACCACTCAACGTTGGCTGTTTGTTTTGCCTGCGTGCCCAGTTTGTGCGAGTCTTCCGGCAAACCTTTTGTTACCACTTGGTTGGGCCTGAACAGTTTAGAGTTCAGCTGCGCCACCCTTTGTTGCGGGAACCCTGATGTTCATGGATCTGTTATACTCAGGGGGCACACTTTAAGTGTGCCACTGAAAAATGCATCATGCGAAGCCCCTCCCCCCCCCCCGGAAGCTGCCCTGTACACACTGAGACGTTACTTAGGAGCAACCACGCTTGGCTCAGCTAAGCCCTGACCCTATGACCGAACCCCTAAGCCTTAAGCTCTAAGGCATTAATCCCTAAGCCCTGGACCCTAAACCCCAAACCGTAAACCCTATTCCCCACAATTGCAATTCCTTTTGGCCTTTCGGGAGCATAGGCTGTTCGTATTCAGGGCGATGCACAATTGCAGTTCCTGTATTGGGGTACAAGATTTGTCCTTCTTGTACAAACCAAAATAAAACTCTACCTACCCCCCCCCCCCCCCCTCTTTCTCCCCAGGGGAGTAGAGTGCAAGCAAGAAGCGAGTATCCCGCAGCACGCAAAGTCTGGTAGCACATGGGAGGTGGATTTGTTCTGCCCCCGGTGTGCGCGGCACGATCGACTCGAGCCTCCAAAACCCTGGGATGCGTTTCGTGACCTCCAGGGCTTCTTCCTGAAGGTTTAGGGACAGAAACCCCGCACTAGATCCTATAATCCGGCTTTCGGGTTTAGGGTTTAGGGCACGGTTTAGGGTTAGGGTTCAGGGTTCAGGGTCGGGTTTAGGGTTTAGGGTTTAGGGTTTAGGGTTTAGGGTTTAGGGTTTAGGGTTTAGGGTTTAGGGTGGCTTCCTTCGTACGCGTTTATGGTAGGCTTAGGGTTGCAGGGGGCCCCAGTTCTGGCAGTGCCAGGACCGCGCCCATGACCAAAGCGCGTCTCACGGATGGCCTCTTGGACCTCAGCGCTTTTTGTGGGTTTAGGGTTTAGGGTTTAGGGTTTGGGGTTTGGGGTTTAGGGTTTAGGGTTTGGGGTTTGGGGTTTAGGGTTTAGGGGATGCTGTTTCAGGGCTCGCAGGGTGGCTGAGTTGTGGGAACCCCTTCTCTCCACCAAGAAGCTCGCGAAACTCCTATCCGAAGGAGCCTCAGGAAGCTCTAGGGTTTAGGGTTTCGGGTTTAGGGTTTCGGCTATAGAGTTTAGGGTGTAGGGTTTGGAAGCAGTTCTCTTCTAGGCTTGCTTTTAGGGTGTGGGACGGCTGTTTCGCTTCATGGGAGGCAAGAGTTGCTTCAGAAACTCCAGGCTTTACCGCATAGGAGTATCTAAGGCTGTGTAGGGCTCTTGGGGTCGTGTTGGGACCAAGCAGCGCGCCTCTGAGATGTTGGAGTTGATGGCCTTCTAGTGAGGGTATGTGCTGCAGTATGTTCTCTTCTCCTAGGTAGGATAAGGGGGACCCTTAAAAGGGAACCCCTTCTTAACCCTCTTCTCTGGCTCTCTTAAACAGGGGACCTTATTCAGAGGGTCTATATCCCCAAGGGTCCCCCTAATCCTATCCCCTATCTTCAAATTCTGCGACGTCTCTACTTCGTCGCATCCACCGCCGGATTAGTATGGACATAGGGCCCACACCGTGTACATGGAACGCATTCAGCTGCTGAAGCAAGGTGGGAACAGCCTTTCAAGGCAGCGAACACAGACGAGCGAGCTCCCTGTACTTGGCTGCTATAGCCTACGCTGAGGAACGCAAAGAAGCTGCCGCCCTGACAACGTTGTACGCGAATATGGCGGCTGTCTGCTTGCAGCTGAGACAACTCGATGAGGCTCTTGGGTGGTCTCAGCGAGGTTTGGCTGGGCATCCTGATGCGGGACTGACGAAGAAGCTCCATCATCGACTGTGTGAAGCACGTCGGCTCAAGACGGAGCCAGAAGTAGATCTGGACCGGGAAGTCCTTCGAGAACAGGGCAATCAGAGTTTTCAGTCGGGAGACTATTCTGTGGCGCGCAGAGCCTACGAAAGCGTGGTGAGATCACCGTCCTCTACCGGCGACCACGTCTGGCTGAAATGTGCCTCAAATTTGGCCCTCACCTATCTTCGATTGGAGTTGAGCCAGCTGGCCAAAGACCTCTGCGACGAAGCGCTTGCTGCTGCCGAAAAGCTGACTTTCGAAGGCGTCTCTGGCTTGAAGCAGAAGTTGGTCGAGATCGCAAGCACAAAGCCGAGCTACTGCAAGAGATTGAAGCGAATTACAGGGCATCCATGCTCGTCACTCCAGACAGACCGACAGAGTTCTCGCCAGCCCTCCAACAAGCTGTGCTCTCAAGCCGCACGTCGCTTTTCGTGGCTGGTGAATTTCTGGAGATTACAAGCTCAACTGCACGCTTCCTGTGCACCATTGGCGTCCTCACTTGCATAACCATCTTTGCGTGGTCTCGCAAAAGCAGTTGCAGAGGATTTGGCGCTCACATTCCTTGCGGTGCTGTCATGAGCGGCTGCCTGCGCCAGCGACTGCAGGGGTCTTCGGCTCATGTTCTCGAAGAGGTCCTCGTTACTTTGAAATCGTCCTTCGCTGATGTCGCAGCCAGTGACGTGGAAGTGCACTTGCTTGGTGGTTTTGCATGCGAAGACGGGAACACTGCTATAAGCACTGTATACTTCAAAGGCGACGCTCAGAGAGGTTTATTCAGTTGGCACGTGTTGGACGCTGTCAAGCAAGCCGGCTTCCACCGAGTCAACACTGTGCTACTGAACGTCTTTGAGGGGGAGAGCTGCGAGTCCGTGGAGATCGAGATGAGGCTACGCGAGGAGAACAAGCGCTTTGTCTGCGCAGCGCTGGATTCGGAAACCGGCAACATTGTGACTCACACCAAGCACGCGTCATGCCCGATCCCCCCTGACTGGTGGGCCAGGGAAAGGCGCTTGCGTCCTGGAGGACAAGCGCTTGTTCACGCAAGCTCGCCGGCAGAAGTTGGCTCCGCTGAGGCACCGCCTTGCCCAACGCAGTAGCCAGCCTTCGCATCGGCGACCTCTCGCATGCAGCCTGACCTCTTCACGCTATGGGGGTTTATATAGGATTTAGGGTTTAGGGTTTAGGGTTTGGGGTTTAGGGTTTAATTAGGGTGTTCCCAACAGACCTGTGCAACTCCGCCCGGTAAGCCGCAGGAACTCAATGACACTGTAGCACAGCAACGCAACTTGAAAGATGAAGACCAAGGCTTTGGCTATTTCTGAAACATGCAGCCAAGTATGAAGCCATGTTCCTCATGCTCTGAAAGTCCCCATCCTCCCTGAACCAGAAAGAAGCCTTTGTGTACATCTTTAAGCTGCCTAAACCCTAAACCCTAAACCCTAAACCCTAAACCCTAAATCATGGGTCTTTGGCAGCCCAAAGTATACAGCGTGCACGTTGTGTCATCGCGATCCCCGGCATAAGGGCACTCCTGGAAGCTTCCGAAATTGCTGGAAGCCCAGAAAGCCTGCCTCCAACTGGGTTAAGGTTTAGAGTTTAGGGTTAAGGGTTTAGGGTTTAGGGTGTAGGGTTTAGGGTTTAGGGTGTTAAGGCTCTCGAGTCAGAATGTTACTCTTTGGACACCATATTGCCATATTGCGTGCCACATATCCCACGATTACGGCAACGCAAACTGCGTGTTCCTTCTCGAGAACCAAAGGCCTTCGGAAGCACGATGTGCTTCAGCAGCGGCTTGTCGGCATTTTGGGGCTCGGCGGTTCTGAAGCTTCGAGATTATTCACAGTATATATATACAGATATGTTTTTAAGAGTCTTGCTATTACTACTATTAAGGCTTCTGCCAGAGCGACAGATCTAAAGTCTAAGAACACTGCAGGCCCCAATCAACAAGTTCATCCAACAATGTGCGATTTTAAGAAAACGTTCGGAGGTTCAGTGGGGTTCCTTTTTACCCAGCCTGCCATTCGACTTTCGGCAGGAACTGCTACAGCAACAAAGAACAACATTCGGCGAACGACATGTCGCAAGTCCTTCGGATTACGGTCAGCATGACTTTGCAGTTTCCCCGTTCTACCAGCATGATCCACAAACTGCGTACACTAGACCCCGGAGTAGCCTTGGAATGCAAAGGGTACCCTTGTTGGTTTTCGACGAGAAGGGAACCCCAACCCTAGAAAAGGAAATGAGGGCCTACTCCGGGTCCTAGTACATCCAGCAGGACATGACTGGCCCACACCACTATTATTGGGGTCCTTGTTAAACGGGAATCCTACAATTTGGGGGCCTATTTTAGGGGTCCCCTATTTTCGTAAATCCCCATATGGGTTTAGGCTTTAGTTTTTGGGTTCAGAACTTTCCGGTGCCGCACATGACATCCCAAGGGCCGGCCTGTACTTCGACTACCCCATCATCGAGGCAGGCCTGTCTTGCTTTGACACAGGGTTTAGGGTTTAGGGTTTAAGGTTTAGGGTTTAGGGTTTAGTGTATAATGGACCCTACCTCATTTAGCCCCGCTGGGAGCACTCTCAGGCTGTAGGATTTAGTTCGCTGGTCTTGGTAGGAAGTTTTTAGAACTAATTCCTCTGCCCCAACCAGAGTTGGGGTTCGGGTTAGGGCTTTAAAGGGCTTCCGGTTAGGTTACATTGTGTTTTTTTTGTTGGTTGGGTTTAGGGTTTAGGGTTTAGGGTTTAGGGTTTAGGGTTTAGGGTTTAGGGTTTAGGGTTTAGGGTTTAGGGTTTAGGGTTTAGGGTTTAGGGTTTAGGGTTTAGGGTTTAGGGTTTAGGGTTTAGGGTTTAGGGTTTAGTTTAGGTTTAGGGTTTAGGGTTTAGGCTTTAGGGTTTAGGGTTTAGGGTTTAGGGGGTTTAGGGGTTTCGGTTTAGGGTTTAGGGTTTAGGGGGGGGGGGGGGGCTAAGAATTTACAAGTCACAAGTCGGCTTCTCGCGCAAGAGCGTCCTGGGACAGAGGGCACTGCCAAGGCAGACACACCAAAACCTTAAACCCTGTAAACCCTATAAACCCTAAAAACCCTGTAAACCCTGTAAACCCTGTAAACCCTGTAAACCCTGTAAACCCTATAAACCCTATAAACCCTATAAACCCTATAAACCCTATAAACCCTATAAACCCTATAAACCCGAAACCCTATAAACCCTAAGCCCTAAACCCTAAGCCCCAATGCCGCGATTCGCACTATGCATGAGCTGGCAGGCTCGTGAACGGCGGGCTTTGCTTTTGGCGAGGGGGGGTCCAAGCCCTAAACCCTAAACCCTAAACCCCAAACCCTAAACCCTAAACCCTAAACCCTAAACCCTAAACCCTAAACCCTAAACCCTAAACCGGAGTATCCGACTCGTTTTGAGGAGGCTGGCGAAGGAGGCCACACAGCCCACAGTCAGGGGGCTGCCTTGCAGCGTCCCCCAACCCTCGGTCTGAGTCCACAACCCCTCACCTTTTCATTAGGTGAGACTTTACGACAGCTTGATCCTCTAAGCATTTGGGTTCCTCTAACTTCATATGAAAGGAGCTAGAAGTTGAACCTTTGTTGGGGGTTTAAGGAGCAACCAAGTTCAGACGGAAATCTGCGCTATGAAGCTCGGGGGGTCGATCTCAGAGACCTTGCACCTCCCAAACCCCTAAACTCTATGACCGAAGTCTTCGGAGGGCTTAGGTTCTTTTCTCCTTCCAAACCCCCACTGTTCGGGGACAGGCGCTCATCCTCCACATCGACAGGACCCCGTAGCTTTGCAGTGGGGTTTTGTCGTCTGGGTCGGGCCGCGAGCGCGCAATAGACCTAAATAGAGCAAACTCATCCCTCTGAGAGAACAAAATTGAAGGGTGGAACTCTTCTCGCCCTTGTTTGTAGGGATCCGAAGTATGGGCCCGTATTAGGTATAGTGTGTATTTAAGGGTTAGATGACCAGGGGGCCCAAATGTAGGGCCTATACTTCCACAACAAGGCAATTCTGAATGCTGAAAGTCCCATTGTTTCATCAGCAATAGCCTATAAGCGGAGCATTCAACTTCGGAACAACGACTCGGGAGGAGGCTAGCTGTAGCTGTCCCTGCGTGAACCCGTGGGGTATCGGGAGGGCTTTGAGGGGGTTGGCTACTTACCGCTTTGGGTCTCGCGTGGCCTCGAGCCCTGCAAACTAAACAGAGCATGCCTCAGCCCAAAACACTCAATGCCAAACCCTACACGAACTCCCAAGCCGAACACGTGTGGCTTGGGCGGCAGCGGCTGTTCTCCAGCGTCTGCTTAAAGGCTCAGGGAGTGCAGTACGTGGGTTATATATCAGGTCATCTTTCCACCCTTAACCCTTCAGTGGCCCTTCAGCGTAGACCCTGCATACTGGGTTCCCTGAGCCTTCAAACGGACAGCTGTAACGTGAGAACCTAAGCTGCAATAAATGCCTACCTGCAACTGTGGCCCCAAAGCTTGGCAAATCCACGAACATTTTTCCGAAACTCCGGGGAGACCCAGGAAAACCCCAGAACCCTAAGACCCGAAGCTCTAAACCCTTAGCCGCAGCCCTTTAAACTCCGACCCCTTACACCCCGCACTCCACCCTTAAACCCGACCGAAACCTCGAAACCCAAAGCCAAATGCCGTCTACCACCGTCCTACCAGGATGTACAAGGATGCGCAGAAAGCGCAGGCGGACGGCCAGGCGCGCTTCTTTGCCTTGGGCGCCTGAAGCCGGAGTGGCTGCCGATGTTCAGGTTTAGGGTTTAGGGTTTCGGGTTTAGGGTTTAGGGTTTTGGGTTTAGGGTTTAGGGTTTAGAGTTTAGGGTTTAGGGTTTAGGGTTCAGGGCTTGGGGCCCTAAACCGAAACCCCAAAAGCCCCCCAACAAGGGCAACAAAAAGCAAGCAAAGCAAAACAAGAAGCCGCAAATCCTTGGCGTTCTTACTCTTGGCTTTCTAGGCCCAGTACAGATTCGGGGTCCACGCGGGGCGTGAACTGCGAGTCATTCTGGGGTTTGGGTCTCCATACCCCGAAACGCTAAACCCTCAACCTTGACACCCCAAAACCCTAAACCCTAAACCCTAAACCCTAAACCCTAAACCCTAAACCCTAAACCCTAAACCCTAAACCCTACACCCTAAACCCTCAACCCTAAACCCTAAACCCTAAGCCCTAAACCCTAAACCCTAAACCCTAAACCCTAAACCCTACACCCTAAACCCTAAACCCTAAAGCCTAAACCCTAGTCCCTCGGAAGCCCCAGCTTGATGTTGGAGGAGAAGCCGGCCGGGACCATCTTGGTCTTCCTCCCTGGCTGGGGCGACATCGTGCCTTGCATCGGATTCCAAGTTTTCTGCGCGGTTTGCGGGTTTAGGGTTTAGGGTATAGGGTTTAGGGTTTCGTTCGTGGTTTGCGGGTCTTAGGGTTAGAGGGGTCCTATAGCATGTTTTCTCCGCGGGTTGTCGGTTTTAGGGGTTAACCGGGTGGCCTTAGGGGTTTCGGGTTTCAGGGGGCTAACCCCTAAACCTTAAACCGTTTTAAAAGGCTTGAGGCTTGCTTCCTAACCCGAAGGCCTCAAACCCGAAACTCTGAAACCCATGCAGCCGACCCTAAACCCGCAAACCAGGGTTCCGGGTTTAGGTTACGCCCAAAACCCTATGATTGTGGCGTAGTCGCACATGACTGTCGGACTTCATCACATTTCAAGTGTTTGCCAAAACCCCTTTGGGGCTCAACCCTAAACCCTACACCCTAAACCCTAAACCCTCAGCCCTAAACCCTAAACCCTAAACCCGAAACCCTCAATCCGTTTAGGGCTTTGGGTAAGCGGAGTTTCAGTCCCCTTAACAACACCCCAAGGCGAGTCCGTGTCTTTCAAGCCCTAGCTCCCTTCGTCGGTCCCTTCTTCCCCTGTGTGTTGCGGTTCACATGTTTGTCATAGTTGATTCATGTTAATTCCCAGTAAGGAATGAAGTGAGCAGTTGTTAAATGTAACCCCAGCAAGGAAGCAGAAATCCCCAAGGACCAGTACCCTAAACCCCAAACCCCAAACCCCAAACCCCAAACCCCAAACCCCAAACCCCAAACCCCAAACCCCAAACCCCAAACCCTAAACGCTAAACTCTAGACCCTAAACCCTAAACCCTAAACCCTAAACCCTAAACCCTAAACCAAGGACCAGTTGCAGAAGAGGCTGCTGCAGAACTTCGACCCCAAGCGCTTCAAGATCCTTCCCCTGCACTCGCAGGCCCATGGTTCTCTGAAGCCAAGGTCCAACTTGAATCTCCAAAGCCCTAAGCCCCAACCACCAGCCCCTTTCAAATGCGGCTTAGGGTTTAGGGTTTAGGGTTTGGGGTTTAGGGTTTAGGGTTTAGGGTTTAGGGTTTAGGGTTTAGGGTTTCGGGTTTAGGGCTTAGGGTTTAGGGCTTAGGGCTTAGGGTGTTGTAGAAATTGTATGGGGTTCGGGGTTTGGGATTGGCACCGGCCGGCCTTCCTTATGAGAGGTGGGACATGATGAAAGGGTTTAGGGTTTAGGGTTTAGGGTTTAGGGTTTAGGGTTTAGGGGTTTGGGGTTTAGGGTTTAGTTTAGTTTAGTTTTTTTTTTTTTTTTTTGTCTGCTTTGCCTTTTTATTCCTCTTTGCTGGGAAGGCCGGTGACTTTTTTTTCTTTTACCTGGCCTTTTGAAAAAAGGAAGGCCCGCGAAGGAAAGTTTTGATCGACACGCTTTGAGCGGGTTTCGTTTTTAGAACCCTAAACCCTAAACCCTAAACCCTAAACCCAAAACCCTAAACCCTAAAACCCCTATTCTTTCCAATAAGACACAATGGGTCCATGGCCGCGTGCGAAACGAAACGTTGCCGGAACAGGTGGGGGACCCAAAACCTGCTTTAAAATAGTTGTATAGGGCTTGGGTCCCAATCAAGTTTTGAACGAAAGTTTCAAACGAAAGTGTGAACGAATGGACGGGTTTTGTGTAAGAACGTTTTAAACCCTAACAGCCCCTTCTCCCCCCAAAAGTAGGTCCATCAGACCCTAAACCCTAAACCCTAAACCCTAAACCCTAAAACCTAAACCCTAAACCCTAAAACCTAAAACCCTAAACCCTAAACCCTAAACCCTAAACCCTGAACTCTAAACCCTAAACCCTAACCCTAAACCCTAAGCCGCAAACCCTAAACCGCAAACCCTAAACCCCACAGCTGCTACAGGTGACACCTGACCAACAGCAGGAGAGATGATTGCCAACTGCATGCCCCGCCTCCTTTCGGGTCGACATTTTTGTCAAGGGCCCAGGGTTTCGGGGTTTAAATCTTAGCTTTTGGCGTTTCGGGGTTTAGGGATTAATAAAGTTCAGGGCAATAGGGCTCCAGGTTTACGATTTTCCGGGCCAATTTTTGCTTCTCATCGCCATTTCAGCCTGCAGACTGCTTGCGGAAGGCTCGCAGTCACAAAGCCAAGCCGTTTGTACATTCCTGCACAGGTCCAGGCTTGGGTTTCAGGTTTTCAGGCTTTAGAGTCTGGATGTCCTAAGCCTTAAAGACTCAAACCCTCAAACCCTCAACCCCTCAAATCCTCAACCCCTCAGACCCTCAAACTCTCAAACCCTCAAACCCTCAAACCCTCAAACCCTCAAACCGTCAAACCCTCAAACCCTCAAACCGTCAAACCCTCAAACCCTCAAACCCTCAAACCCTCAACCCTAAACCCTCAAACCCTAAACCCCCCCCCCCCCCCCCCCACCCTAAATCCTAAACCCGTTTCGCTCACCCCCAAAGCGGTGTAGGAGATTTTTCAGCCGGCACCTCCTGGGGTGCGGAAGATCGTACTGACCACGAACATCGCGGAGGCCCCTCTAGGGCTTTTCAGTTTGGGGTTTAGGGTTTAGGGTCTAGGGTTTACGGTTTAGGGGGGATTTGAAGTTAATTGGGGTCTCGGCCGTCCCACCGAGCCTAATCGTGAACCCGAAGCCGAAGCCCGAGACTTCTAGTGGTCTTCTGAGCAGAAGGTGCAAACGAAAGCCGACTTTCAGATTCTGTCCCTCAAGGCCCTAAGCTTCAAACCCCCCAAAACCTTCACGCCCAGAGCCTTAAAACCAAGCCTGAACACTAAACCCTAAACCCTGAAACCCTAAAACCCTAAAACCCTAAACCCTAAACCCTTAAACCCCTGGACCCTGAAGCATCTACCCGCCTAAATCCTCAAACCCTTAAATGCTGAGCCCTTAACCCCTGAGCCCTTATACCCCTAATTCAGCCCCAAACCCCAAACCTCGAAACCCTAATCCCGAAGCCCGAAGCCCTAAACCGTAAACCCTAAACCCTAAACCCTAACCCTAAACCCTAAACCCTAAACCGGTAACCCTCAACCCAAACCCTAAACCCTAAACCCCTGTGCCTGCAAGGCGTCGATCACTGTGGAGGGCACCGAGTTCGTGATCGACTCCGCGCGCGCCAAGGACGGACTTCGGGGCATTCAGGGCTTTGGGGGTTTAGGGTTTAGGGTTTAGGGTTTAGGGTTTAAAGTTTAGGGTTTAGGGTTTAGGGTTCAAGGTTTAGGGCTTAGGGAGGATTTTGGCGTTTCAGGCTTACGTAGGGGTATCGCGTTTTGGGGCTTATGTGTTTTTTGGGGGGGATTCAGGGGACTACAGGTTTAAGGGTTTAAGACTCTCAGGGTTTGGAGTTGATGCCTTGAGCTAAGCCCCGAACCCCCATTTTCCGAAAAGGCCCGAAGGACCCCCCCCCTGCCCCCAAAAACAAGAACCCAACCCCCAGCCTAACCACTCCCCCTAACCCCTCAACACCTCCCTAAACACCTAACCCCGCCAGAAACCTTGAGCCGTAGATTCTTCGACTGCTAGGATGTTGAAGTACTTTGCTCGGGGCTTGTGATCTTCTCCTTTAGATTTCCAGAGACGTTAAAGGACCTAGCCAGCTCATTTTGTAGGCGTCTGGTTAGTGCTCTAGCTGATGGCCCAGTTGTGGGGCCTTTAGTACCCTAAACCCGAGTTCCTAAACCCCAAGCCCCCTTGGCATCTTTAGGGTATCCCAAGAAAGGATCACAATTTCGAGCCCGAAGCCTCAAACCCTAAACCCTCAACCCCAACCCCAGGGAGGAATAAACCCGGTGACACCCTTTGGATGGGTAGGAAGTCAGCTACGACCCCTACTTGAAGGCGCTGAGGGTGTTGGAAGTTCTGGCTTTGGGGGTGTTAGAGTTGAAGGACTAGGGCCTAGGGTTTAGGGTTTGCTGTTGCTGGAAGAACAGATGGGAAAGGGTTTGGAGTTGGGGTTTTGGGGGTTTTGGGTTGAGGGTTTCGGGTTTCCGGAGGTTTGGAGTGACTGAGTGTGTGTGTGTGGGTGGGGAAGATCACGTGTCCTGCAATATTGCCGGGAGGGTATTGCAGAATTTCTACAATGCCAATCCTCATTATAGGAACCCCCGCCAGCAAACAGGGTTACCCCTGTTGTGGGAAATCGCCATTTGGGTCCCTTCATGCCGTCGCCCTCTTATTCTGGCACATCGCAACCACCCCCCCCCCAAACCCCAAACCCTTTAATCTCTCAAAAGCTATGAGGAATGAATGTAAGGAACGAGCATGATAATGCCGTGGCTACGACTCAAACCCTAAACCCTCAAGCCCTCTACCCCTCCAACCCTCCAACCCTCCAACCCTCAAACCCTCCAACCCTCCAACCCTCAAAACCTCCAACCCTCGAACCCTAAAACCCTCAAACTCTCCAACCCTCCAACCCTCACACCCTCCAACCCTCAAAGCCTCCAACCCTCAAGCCCTCAAACCCTCAAACCCGCAAACCCTAAACCCCTCAAACCCGCAAACCCTAAACCCCCCCCCACCCTAAAAGCACCTTAAAAAAGAAACTGCAAGCCAGAGGTGGGCACGCTGACCACCTCCTGGATCTCCAAGGCACGACCTCCAAGGAGTTGGGATTTAGGGTTTAGGTTTAGGGTTTAGGGTTTAGGGTTTAGGGCTTACAGGGTTTATAGGGTTTATAGGGTTTATAGGGTTTATAGGGTTTATGTACGTAGGACCTCTATGTATAGTGTGGGAAATCCCCTTCTGTATGTCTCTATATATATATATACTTATAGGTATCTATAATTAAAATATTTAAGAAATAAACTTTTTAAGTTTTATAAATTTTACTGTTAAGGCAAAATCTATGAAAATTTATAAAATTTATAAAATTTATAAAGCTTCCTTCTAAACTTGAGCAAACCAGGCTTTATAAATTTTATAAATTTTATAAATTTCACCTTAAGGGAAAAATTATAAAATTTATAAAATTTATAAAGTTTTGGGTTCAGGCGTCCCGGGAAACCTTTAAAATTTATAAAATTTATAAAATTTATAAAATTTATAAAATTTATAAAATTTATAAAAATTATAAAATTTATAAAATTTATAAAGCTTCCTTCTAAACTTGAGCAAACCAGGCTTTATAAATTTTATAAATTTTATAAATTTCACCTTAAAGGGTAAAATTTATAAAATTTATAAAATTTATAAAGTTTTGGGTTCAGGCGTCCCGGGAAACCTTTAAAATTTATAAAATTTAAAAAATTTATAAAATTTATAAAATTTTCTAAAGCTTCCTTCTAAACTTGAGCAAACCAGGCTTTATAAATTTTATAAATTTTATAAATTTCACCTTAAGGGTAAAATTTATAAAATTATAAAATTGATAAAGTTTTGGGTTCAGGCGTCCCGGGAAACCTTTAAAATTTATAAAACTTATAAAATTTATACAATTTATAAAATTTATGAAATTTATAAAGCTTCCTTCTAAACTTGAGCAAACCAGGCTTTATAAATTTTATAAATTTTATAAATTTCACCTTAAAGGGTAAAATTTATACAAATTTATAAAATTTATAAAGTTTTGGGTTCAGGCGTCCCGGGAAACCTTTAAAATTTATAAAATTTAAAAAATTTATAAAATTTATAAAATCTATAAAATTTATAAAGCTTCCTTCTAAACTTGAGCAAACCAGGCTTTATATATTTTTTACATTTTATAAATTTCACCTTAAAGGGAAAAATTTTAAACTTTATAAAATTTATAAAGTTTTGGGTTCAGGCGTCCCGGGAAACCTTTAAAATTCATAAAATTTATAAAATTTATAAAAGTTATAAAATGTATAAAATTTGTAAAATTTATAAAATTTATAAAGCTTCCTTCTAAACTTGAGCAAACCAGGCTTTATAAGTTTTATAAATTTTATAAATTTCACCTTAAGGGTAAAATTTATAAAATTTATAAAATCGATAAAGTTTTGGGTTCAGGCGTCCCGGGAAACCTTTAAAATTTATAAAATTTATAAAATTTATAAAATTTATAAAATTTAAAAAATTTATAAAATTTATAAAATTTATAAAGCTTCCTTCTAAACTTGAGCAAACCAGGCTTTATAAATTTTATAAATTTTATAAATTTCACCTTAAAGGGTAAAATTTATAAAATTTATAAAATTTATAAAGTTTTGGGTTCAGGCGTCCCGGGAAACCTTTAAAATTTATAAAATTTAAAAAATTTATAAAATTTATAAAATTTATAAAGCTTCCTTCTAAACTTGAGCAAACCAGGCTTTATAAATTTTATAAATTTTATAAATTTCACCTTAAAGGGTAAAAGTTATAAAATTTATAAAATTGACAAAGTTTT